CTGTTGCGGCTGCTGTTGTAAGGACTTGGGGAGTGGAGCTCGATTAACTACAAAAATCAATCTAGGGGGTCTGGAGGGTCAAATGGCGTTTCAAAGTATACCAAACTCTAGTAATGGGTCGATCGATCGATTCCCCGACTATCTGTAATTGAGATTTAAATAGATAGAGAGCTGGCGATTATATATAATTACTCGAATTTTCTGAGAGTATACGTATGTGACTACGCTTCGTACATACATCGATGAACATCTAGGTACCCAGATATTTCGATAGCCGTCCCCACGAACCGTGATTCAATATATAATCGGCATGAGACTAATCAAGCTCAACACTTGACGATTCTACCACAGATTATTAATCGATCTCTACACTCGAACTTGCAATTTCAATTGCAAGTATAGCCAGATACCCTAGCACATGTTAAAGCTGTCACACAACATCCCTACCTACCTAGAAGTATAACGTCGCCGCGGCCGGATGAATACATACCGAAACTTTATTTCGACCGTAAGCCTGAGTACAACTTGAGCAAAATTTTGCGGGGTAGCTTCGGAGAATTGGTCATGACCCACCTATTTCATTAGGAAGTAGGTAGGTAAGTAGATAGTTTTAATATGCATATTGCAATTGATCGACATCTCATATCATATCGACATGTGTTGGATGCGAAATTGTGGATCCTGCAAGTTAACTCTAGCTATAGGCTCGGGCTTTTAAATTTCATATCATATCATATCATATCATATCGTCCTTAAGCATATGATTATATACCCATGCATTTCGCGTTGAATTATCACTATATCGATTATCTCTATATCCCAATTCTCCAATTCTGCCATTCTACGATAATCTTGATCATTCAGCCCATGACCTCCCCGGGCCCTCCCTACCCAGGCCCAACCGGCCCAATCGCAGCCCAGCGAGGCCTCGATTGAGCATTTCGAAGCTCGCTTACTTAACGTAAAGGGTAAGGCTGGCATGCTATAGCTACAAAGTACATGTAGCTACGTACATACAAGCTTGGTCATATCAATTATTGCAATATCAGGTTGGGGTAATAGCTACCTATACTATATATAGCTAGGTAGTGGATATCGATCTACCTACTTACTGGTATATCTGATCTGCAAAGATCAGATCCAAAAAGCCGTTACGAATTGCACAGTTGCACCATTGCACCGTTGGCGGTTTTGTCGGGTAGGTTTTCCAGTAGGCTGGAAATGTAGGAGAGTGGTACCGGTTTTTATATTAAATTACATGAGTTTGGATATCGATGCATATTTATTACATTAGGGAGATGATTATACATATATATAGGAATAGGAACAGGGAATGATATTATGTTCATCTTAAACAAACACATGTAAGGTACTCTCAGTACATTCGGATATTCTCTTGTCGACTCCTGACCGCGGTCTCGGGCAATGGGCCACGCTTGCAATTGCAATTGCAATAAAAGTATACATACAACAGTGGGATTTTTCAATGAAGCCGAAGCCCCCAAGAACTATATTGAAAATTTTGTCACGAATTTGCAATATTTTTGTTGCAGGCCTTAGGTTGGAGGCATACTTACTTCTTGCTACTTGGTCACCTAGCTATATCCCCCCAGAATTTCAAGTGATTCTTAGGTATATAAATTAAGCTCAGTCCCCATTTTTGTGTTCACTATTGCCGCGTGCGCACCCAATTATCGCCAGAGTCAAAGTCAAAGTCAAAGTCAAATCGATAACGATACTACCACCTACCAAGTTAGTACTTAGGTAGCTAACCTCAAGTGCAAGCGCTCATATCATCCGATCTGATCATTTAAAAGATGGCATTCAAAACATCTCATTACCTAGTCCGGGCCCTCCTCGCAACAACACTTCACCATGTACATGTTGCTTCTGGCACGCCAATGCTCGGGAGAGTCATTGAGCGGCAGGCGGATTTGTTGGATAGCTATGATTATATCGTTGTTGGAGGGGGCACGGCGGGGTTGACGGTTGCGAATCGGCTTACGGAGATTCCTGATGGTGAGTTTATGTAACGTTGTGGCTGTGTTGTGGATGTATGAATGAGATTGCATGGGATGGAAGATGATGAGAAGGTGATGAGGTTGATGATGATGATTGCAATTGGCTAATTATTATATATGGATGGGGATGTAAAGTGACTGTGCTTGTCCTCGAAGCTGGAATAATGTACGTCTAAAAATTTAAAAGATGAATCATATTTACCTCCAACATTCAAAGCAATTCAATCGGCTTTGCTAATTCCATGTGGGCATGCGTTATAGTGACGAGCTCAAAGATAAATACTTGGTTCCGAAACTCATCAGCTCTGCAGGGCAGGGGAATACATGGCCATACACGAGCGAGCCACAAACACAGCTAAGCAATCGGCGGTCACCACTAACCGCTGCAAAAGTCCTTGGTGGTGGAAGCGCAATCAATGGGATGGAGTTCGATCGCGGGTCGAAGGGGGACTATGACTTGTGGGGGGAGATTATCGGGGATGAAGGGTGGTCGTGGGATGGGCTTTTTCCGTATTTCAAAAAGGTATGACTGACTAGTACGAGAAGAAACTTGGTGCTACGTTTTTTGTTTCGATACTAATTTTTTTCTTGATGAGCTCCGGAATTAGACGGAGAAGTTTACCCCGCCTACGGATGAATGGGCAGAGGAGATGGGGATTACGTACGATATGGATGCGCATGGCCATGATGGCCCAATTCACTCGTCGTACTCGCCGTTCATGTACGAGACTTCAAGTATGCATTTACCGCTGCAATATCCATTCTAATCATGAATTATACGCTAATGTCGTTTGGTCTGGGATATTGTAGAGCTTTTCATCCAGGCTGCGCGAGAGCTTGGACTACCGGTGCCCAAGGATTCCTTGGGTGGAGAGGCGATCGGAGCCTTCTTCAGCCCCCAATCGTTGCACGGAACACTACGAGAAAGATCGTTTGCGAGGAATACATACCACACGACGGCCGAGACCCGCGAGAACTACCATGTTGTCCCGAGTGTGACGGTGACGAAACTCATCAATGAGCCTGGTGCGGAGGAAGGAAGTGAGGTCAACATCGTTGGAGTCGAGTATGTACCGAGTGGTTCTGCAGACTATGATGCCGCGGAAAAGATTATAGTCAAGGCTTCAAAGGAAGTCATCCTCTCTGCTGGATCCACAAACACTCCTCGGATCCTACAACTTTCGGGCATCGGTTCGAAGACGCTTCTAGACTCTTTGGAGATTCCAGTCCTCGTCGACCTCCCAGGCGTGGGTGAGAACTTTCAGGACCACCCGTACTCGTTCCAAACCTGGTCCGCAAAGAACTACACCCCGAGCACACCCCTCCAGGACCGAAGCCAGGCCGTCCGGCCAGAAATGGCTTCGCAGATCGAGGCCATGTATCGCGAGAACAGGACAGGCCCGTGGTGCATCTCCTCCCCCGTCGTCCTCGGCTTCTGGTCCTGGGGGAATGTCGGGATGGACACCGCCCTCCTCGACGCCTCTGACGCCGAAGACGCAGAGACCCATCTCCGGGAGGGCACCCATCCAAGCGTTATCGCCGGCTACGCACGCCAGAAGCAGCTTATACTAAAGTACTTTCGCGAGAACAAATCCGCAATCATCGAGACGTCCATCGATGTGTCCAGTGGGTTTGCGTCCCTCGCAAAGCCGCTCTCGAGGGGATACATCCGCATCAACAGCACGAACCCCCTCGCCGCGCCGATCGGGGACTACCGCGCCCTCACCCACCCGCTCGACTGGAGCGTCCTCATCGAGTCCATCCGGTGGCTGCAGAACGTCTGGCCCACTGCGCCGGCCCTCCAAGCCGTCGCGTCCACCCCGCTCTCCCCGCGGCCTGGGATGAGCGACACAGAGCTCAGGACGCTGTTGGCGGGCAACACCAATCCGAGCATGTACCATCTTGTGGGGACGTGTGCGATGATGAAGGAGGAGGAAGGGGGGTGCGTGGATGCGGAGCTCAAGGTTTATGGCACGAGGGGGAGACTGCGGGTCGTGGATGCGAGTATCATGCCGACGATTCCGGGGACGCATACGCAGAGCACGGTGTATGCGATTGCGGAGAAGGCGTCGGATATGATCAAGGCTGGGCTTGCAAAGTAGGGTTTCATGATGTGGGGGTGCATGCGCAGCGGGTCTGTAGCGTGCCATGGGTTTTTGATATCAATGATGTTAAACGTTATAACATATAATTTCCATGTGAGATTGCTTAACTGTAATGTGAATAGATCTCTGTGATGGCAAAATGCATTACAGAATGTATGTACTCGTACCTAGGGCCTCGACTCTTATCTATCCATTTCCACTGAAATACCTTCTCGATATAGACATACTTATATAATACCAGGGCAGAAATATCGGGACAGGATAAGGCATATTTACTAGCAAAGGGTATAATGTCCCGATCCTTTTGTCCTAGTGTAATATGTAAATTTGATCGAAGCAAATAATGGGTTGTGCCGAAGGTAAATTCATCAATGACGAGAGTATTCCGTATATATTTAAATTGAAGCACCCCTCTCCGTTGGAGCATTTGTCCAAACCCACGTTGAATGATATAATGGGGTTTGGCCAGTGGGGGTAAGTACTCCATTTGGTAGCGCTAGCGCAAATGGGGTAGTAGATGAAGCGGCAGGGCTACTCGAGTAGGAAATACCTGAGCGGGAAATACCAGATCAAGCGACGCCGCTAGTCTCATCGACAAAGTAGACTCGTTCCCAGAACCTTTTAGACCATTGTGGGGTATTGTAATCAACCAGGCTGCACAAGCATACGTGATTGTTATCTCCTCTGCAGGCCACAAAGTTCACTGGTGAAGGTTTCGCACCCATCGCCATCACCGTGTGCTCACAATTGAACCGTACCACGTATTGCCACTTGTTACTGCAGCACGGCGCCAGGGCGGTGAATAGCAGGGAAACCATCTCCGTATTGGTACACGCCTCCATATGTAACTTTTTGAAACTAGGTACATCAATCATCTTTGGTAGTATAGTGGTCAGTATTTTCGCCTGTCAGGAATGTTCACACTTCCAGCGCGCGAGAGACCGGGGTTCAATTCCCCGCCAAAGAGTCTTTTTTTGTGTTTTTTTTGGCCATTTTTCGAATGCGCTAGAACATGTTGCGCTCACGATCGATTCTTTTGATTTTTCGAGGCTAAGTAAAAATTATTGATGCACCTGTGGATGTATTGGAGGCCAACTTTATTTCTTTTTTTGGCCGCCGTGGTTTTGGGCAGCAGCAGGGCGAGCGCCCATGTGTGCAGGCTGGCGAGGCCAGAAAACAAATGCATGTCGCAGGAATTGAGGAAGCTGAAGAAAAGAGGCCTGAAGAATTAGAAAAAGGCAGTAGTGAAGAGACGAAGGAAATTCAAGATGGGTACAGGCTTGCTGTACCGGACTAGTACTCGTGATTCCGTTGAGAATGCTGGAAAAGAAGGATAATACAATACCATACTCGAGGTTGAAACAGCAGTCTTGTATATCCAGTATATCAATGTATCAATCAAATCAATCTCCCAATATATCCACGACACCTTCAAAAACATGCATCACGGCCCAGTTCCTTCTATTTTCGAATGTTGGCACTTGGCCGGGATATCACAATATATACTATAAAACGAGACCTTTCAGCGCGTTCGGAAAGGTTTTCCGCACGGGCACTTTCTGGTCTCGTTTCGCACTTGTATATTGCCGAATATGGTTAGCGCTGAGGATAACGTCAATGTAAGTCTTTGGAGATCGAATACCTAAGCCGCGAAGCTCAAGTACAGCATCCGCGCGTGCCAGAAAAACGTTGCAATATGTGCTCAATATCTGTTGCTGTGCAAAACCATAAAAAAACTTTACGTGCTACATACCGAGGCCAAAAAAATTAACGGGTATCTAAATCAAGATCTACGACACCAGGGATTCCCGCATGGTCACCCACTGCAGTACTAGCCTGGCGATCTGAAGCTTAGATATGGCAGAGCGGACGGGATGCCTCGTGTTCTTCAGTCTATGGTCGTAGATGGTGAATTCGGACTTCGTGTTGTTCATAACAGTAGAATTCTATGGCTAACGAATCCATCGTTTATTTTTTATTCTTTTTCTTTTTGTGATTCTTCACTTGCAAGGATATGAAGCCTAAGCTTTGAATCGTTGGATTCTGATCATCTATTCTCCAATGAAGGTTTATATACTTAGTCCTGCCGACGTATTCTGTCAGGAGAGAGAGTACCGGTAGGGGACGGAGCTTAAAGGGGAGTGAGTGGCTACCGCTTTGGGAGTGGCCTGATTGGGGGGGAGGGGGGGGGGGGGCTTGCCGCTTTGGGAAGTCAGGTCCGAATGCGGAAGGCTAGGGTCACGAGAAAATCCTGCAGAATGGAAGTACCTACAAGAGCGATCGCGAGGGCCCAGTCATGATGTCTCTTTCTCTCAGGCTCATCATCATATATAAACGGCTTCTCTAGCCTCGTCCCCGGCCCGCACGCATGGAAACCCTTTGTGATAGTACATACTACTATCGCTATCTGAATACATACATACATACCTGTTGTATGCTACTACTAGCTAGAGCGTGCAGGTATAGAACTCTCGATACAGATGGCATTCGATACAGATGGCTCTCGTTATAACATAAGCCGGTCTCGTGCCCTTTATAAGCATACCCTCGGGACCAAGTTTTACATCATCAGGGGAACGAGTTTTTCGTGATCCTGTGATCGGGTGCTATTATTGACACTTATAAGAGAGGAGATTTTGTCACATACACGAACTTCTAAAATATCATTGGCCAACCCACGGCCAATGGAAAAAATAAACTCGAAACACAACACTGACCTGCCACTTTGTCCTTCTACCTACGCCATACTCTCCTTCTCATGATTTTCCGACTCGTCTCCTTCCTTATATCCAAACATCCTCAAAACAAACGATCTCAATTGATCATAGCACATCCATATCGCCACAACCAACACCGTTAACGCCAATGTCAGCACAAAGTACAGCCAGAGCCGCTTGGACGCAACCATGCTGTCATGGCCACCGCCGATTTCAAAGTCGAAGAAGTTCATGCCGAAGATGCCCTATATGATGAAATCAAATGTGAGTTGAATGTATCTTGATTATGGAGTGTAGTGAATGATATCGCCGATTTTGATGTGATGGAAGAGAGAGATATCGATGGAGCTTACAGCAACAAACATCCCAGGTAGGAATATCATTGTCAAGGTGGAGATTGTATGCATTGATGAGCTATCCCGTTTTGCGTCCCTCGCAATCTCAAGATTCGTGTGGCTGTCTTGCTGGGTAACTAAATTGAACACCTACATATGTTATATATCGTTATCCACAGTCAGTCAACGCAATTCGCTAAATATCATGTTGCATATCATTTTATAGCAAACCCAGAGATAAGAAATATAATACGAACCAAATTCATCGCAATATCCTTCCTAGATTTATAACTCAACAGCCATCGTTTCTGCGACTCAAGTGACACCAACATATACCTCGTGGCATCCGCAATTTTTGCACCCAGAAACTGCTGGTTCACAGGAAGACACAACTCAACGAAACGTTCATGCGCACGCTTCAGCTCTTTGCAAAGCATGATCCCCATATCCGCACTAGAAAGTAACCCGTCTGCGTCTTGTGAGACGATATGTAGCTCCTTTGTCAGTGTATCCAGGCTCATTCTCGCCGCGAACCCTTGCCCTCCTTTTCCTTTGGAAAAGCTATCGACCACGTCGAGCTAGTACGTACGAGTACTATAGTCAGCTAATTGTCTTTTAAAAAAGAATCAATCGAAAATAACCTGCAATCATGAATCCGCCTAATACGAGGGGTGGGCTTTCGCCTGCTCACCTGATCATATAGTTTCCCACGAAGTCGGTGTATAACATCCTTTGATTCCTCGAAGGCTTCATTCGCAAGCATACTATGCAATAGAAAGGGATCTTTCAGTTGATTCCACAGGGATTTATATTCCTCTCCTCCTACAGCGCAGTGATCCAGCCGAACATATAGATCCACAAGTCGTTCCTTGACAGTAGCAATGGTTGCCGATTGAAGGTCCCCAACAACGATATATGTGGTGCGGTATGTTTGGGGATTGTATGCCATATAAACACTCATTGGGATCTTCTTGACATGAATGTTCCATCGAGGGTGCTGACAGAAAAACTCTAGTATATGTTAGCTACCAAGTCCCGATGTTATAGCGCAAACCATGTGCATAGTCCTGAATTGCTTAGCTAGCGTACCAAGGTGTTTTAATCTTCCTTCTGTATCATATGTGATGAAATTCCCCGGACTCCAATAATGCGGCTGGCCGAGAAGTAACGGGAAGAATTGTGGTGAGATATTGAAGGTGGTCAATAGGCGCTGTGTTGAAGACTGGCTAACGAGAAGCTGCCGCCCAAATGAGCGGGAGTTTGAGTAGTCATCTCCGATATTACAGAATCTAGGTATTTTTCGTAAGTAAGGAAAATGAACAGCTTGGCTGGATGGTGCTCATTGGCATCCAAACTTACATTGCCTGAAAGATTTCGGCTTGGTCCTCTTTTAGCTTGGCTTCCTACAATGAAGTTAATCTCACGTATTATTCGTAAAGAGGGTTAAAGATATCCTGATCAAGGCCCCCGTATAAGCGGAAATGCTTATCGCCTCGGGATCACATTTCGAGAGTTATGTGCAAGGAATGGTTTATCCGTACAGTGAGATATTCTTCAAGATCAACATCCTTGACACTTTTGGTATTTTTCCACTCTAATCAGCACCCGAATATGGTCAATACAAAGACATCTACGTAGCTGAAGACATGGATGACGATAACTCGAAAGGAATATATCGACAAATCAAGGTACTCACCACGTCTTCCATTACTCAAGCTCCTCCATGCTCGAAAGATTTCAACTTCGGAATTCGACGTCTCCTTACAGAAATTCTCCTCGTTGCGCAGCACCGCTTGGTAATATCGAACATCGTGGACCGCCGGAGAGAAAGTGTCCACACCACAAGGGTATTGTTCCACTTGTGGCTCAAAACGCTCTAACTCCGCCCAGCCTTGGGAGGTGCGGAGCGCTGGCGCCCCACGAGGAAGATGCAGAGCCCCGGATGTAGCAGCTGTTTGCGCGACTGTTGACATGACTGTATTCGGACGCTTCAATGCGCCACGAGCTTGTGCTCTTTTCGAATTCGCTTTGTTGATTTATTTGTTTTATGTGGATTCGCCCGGAGGTTTTCCGGAGAATAGGCACAAGCAGTGAGGATGATAATGTTTCCAGCTGCAGTGGTGAATGTACCAGCACGAGGTGAGGCGTGGAATGAGTGAGGCTGAGTGCACACTGTGGTTGTGTCTTGCGGAGCCTCGTGCAATTTGATTGAAGGCAACGACTTATGTATGATGTACCAAGGTATCCTGCAGAACACGAAAGGGGGCAGTGGCAGAACCATGGCGGGCCAGCCAGATCCAGCAGGGTTGGGCTGAGTTGAAAAAAGCAATAGAACTGAAGGTCTGCAGATGCATTGTGTGACATGAGCATGGAAGAGGCCGATCGACTTCTTTTTGACAGTGGTACATGCCTAGATTATTGCGTTGTTTTAAATTGCATTCATCAACTCTGTTTGGCACTAAGCTTAAGAATATACACTAGCAGTATTTGTAGAGTATGTAGTATAAATAAAGCCCAAACGGGTAAATACATTAAACAATCGTTAAACGTCGTTTCGGGTTCTGCTCGGATTGGACTCGAATCTAACTAGTTCGCTTGACATCTGACACCAAGCGAAGCGAATTCGTGCAAGGCAATCGCTGTTTATAAACGGCCACTACTCTACGATCCAAGCACCTAGGTAACTGTACTGTAGGCTGGGTACCGAGGGTAGTATGCATGAAAAGCTAAAGTACGCTGCTGATATCATGAAGCCGGGGCTTACTGGGAGGCAGTGTTCCGACAGGGTGCAATACCTTGGCATCCACAAAATTCCAAGTGGCAGTGTGTAGATCAGCAATGACGCAGGGCAAGGCAGAGCAATATTTACAATATAATTTGGAGGGCCCCTTTGAAAATAGATTCTGAACCTCATT